ATAATGTGATAATGTTAGCTACATTTATATGAAGTAACATTAAATATCTGCATTTCACTACTACCTGCTGGTTTGGATTGTTGTTAAATAAAAGTACCAGGTAGTAAAACTGTCACAAAAATACTTCTTTATCCAATTTGTTTTACAGTTAAGTGTTAAGTGTTATCTGACCAGCTCTTAATACATTTGCTGAAACATTATTTGACTTTTGGGTCAGTGTGCAGGTGTTATTCTTAATCATTCTCCTTTAATTGAAACCCAAGAAACAACCGTAGTTTTCACAGTGTCCATAAACTCGATTTGATTTCACAATAAAGCAACTCATTATTATCAGGGGCTGATGAAGTATTCAGATTCCAAAAAGTAAAAGTATTAAAGCAGTAAAATGTTCCTGTATCAGATTATTATTCCTCACCATTAATGTAAAGTCGGATGTTGCTGCAGTAGTTGTCGAGTTGGAGCTTATTCTGAACTGTTTAGTATTAAACAGCAGCTAATTATTATTTTCAGTAGGAATTCATCTGCTGATTATAGATTATAAGAAATGTCATCACAGTTGTCCAAAGTGATGCCTTCACAATTTTTATTTTGTCCAACCAAAAGTCCAAACCTCAATGTTATCAGTAAATATTAACATTATTAAAGAGGAATAGCAGCAAATCTTCACATTTGTGAAGCTGGAACCATCAAATCAACTCAATGAAAATTTATTTATAGAGCACTTTAAACATCCAACGTGGACACAAAGTGCTGTACAGAAAAATAAATAAAAGACACTATAGCTCACATGATGAAGTAGAAACAATAACAACTACTACAATAAAACAATAAATTCAGTAAAATCGAAAAAGAAGGTCAACTTCAGTTTTCAAAGGCCCAGGAAAGAGATGGGAAACAGACAGTGAAGATGCCTGTCTAACGTTCAGAGGGAGATCGTTGCACTGTTTAGGAGCTGCAACAGCAAAAGCTCGGTCCCCTTTCAGCTCGTGATTTGTTTTGGGCACAGTTCATCGGCTGACCTGAGAGAACAGGTGGGTCCGTAGGGGTGTAGCAGCTCAGAGATGTAGGGTGGGGCAAGACCATTAAGACATTTAAAAGCAAATAAAAGAATCTTAAAATGGGTCCTATAAACAACAAATCATTTCAACTGTATAACCTGTTCTTTAAAGTAACTTCTGAAGCTGTCAGATAAATATTTTCAGTAGGAGTAGAAAGTGTCATGAAAAGAAAATACTTAAGTAAAGTACAGGTCCCTCAAATCTAAGTACAGTACTTGAGTAAATGTACTGAGTTAAGTATAATATCTTTGGTAATTATCAGGCCTTGGACTGCACCGGCGCTGAAACAGTTCACTGGAATCACTTTAAGCCTGTGTTTGTTGGTTTGCAGCACGTTTAATTAAAGCCTGATATGGAAGTTAATTATAATTACTGCACGTGAATGTTCATGTGCAACAGATGTATTTCCCCGACCGTGTGCGTGCGTGTGACGATCCACTCAGCTTGAAACAGTCAAATGATCCAATCCTGTGATTAAAATAGAAATATCCAAGCAGTCACAATGAAACCTGCAGAACTCCCTCTGTGAGAAACCGCACACACATTTACACAAAGCGCTGGTTAAAGTTAGATGTGTGTACGACAGAACAGAAAATAAGTTGTCAAGCTTATGTGTCTCAGTTTTGTTTTAATTGGTGCAGTGAGTTATTCATAGAATCTTAATTGCTCGGGATGAAAATCCCCCACTGTCTATGTTTATATTTCTTTCACACTCACACACACACAGCGGTACACTTTCTGTTTCCCTTTAGAGAAGCACATTAAAGCTGTTTCTTTTAAAAGGTGTTGCTGCATGCTAATGAGTTTTGTCTCTCACGTGTAAAATCCCAAAGCTCCATCACAGATACATCAAACGCAGCGGCGCGACATGTTTTTATCATCTCTAACTTTTTTTGAATTAAATTCGTGTGATTCCTGAAATACAGCTGTGATTTAAGCTTTTGCAAACAGGAAGTGATGCATTTGGTGTTTACAGAGGCTACAATAGCCGTATGTTTTAAAAAGATATTAAAAAGAAATCTAGTAAGACGGAGACTTCAATGAATGTTTCTGCTCATTCTTAACCAGAAGAGAGCGATGCTTTGTTTCTCTGTACAGTACCAACCCGTTCTCACTCCCAAGTCGTCACATACGGACGCACGGTGAAGATGCGGTGGCATCATATTTCAACACCCTGGGGGAAGCCCATAGTGTCATTTATGAACGCTAAAGGTGGGTGTAGGATATCTAACAGAAAAGTCAGAGTTATAAGGTGGTTGGGGAGGACGAGTGGGCCAGAAACTGGACTTTCAACCAGAAGACCGGTGTTCGTTTCCTGTGTGAAACAAAAAGTCAACATTGAATTTTTTATTTCAGTTATACAAGTTACTTAACTTAACCAAACCATCTTTTCCTAAACCTAACTAAGAAGTTTTATTGTCTAAACCTAACCAAATTGCGACTTTTCACAACGTTAACAAGTGCTTTTATTTTGAAAGTGTAACCGGACACTGCATATTGAAACATATTTGGGAACCCCTTAGCTTTATAGTTGAAAGCACTGGGGGAAATCCTGTAGCCTCATTTCTGAACACTAAAAGCCATGGTTGGTGTGGATGGTAGGCCAGAAACCAGACTTTCGTCCAGGAAGCCAGTGTTTGTTACCCATGTGAAACAAGAAATCTACATTGATATTTTTTTAGTGAAGTTATGTAGGTTAAGTAAATTGCATAGCCTACTTCCGTAAGTTAGGTTTTTTAACCATGACATTTTCCTATACCTAATCAAATTGCGACGTATCACAGCATTAGGCCAGAAACCAGACTTTCACTCAGGAGACCGGTGTTCGTTTCCTGTGTGGAACAATAAGTGAACATTGAATGTTTTTTATTTCAGTTACGTATGTTATATAAGTTACTTAACTTAACCAAACCATCTTTTCCTAAACCTAACTAAGAAGTTTTATTGTCTAAACCTAACCAAATTGCGACTTTTCACAACGTTAACAAGTGCTTTTATTTTGAAAGTGTAACCAGACCGGTTTTTAGTGAAGCTAACGTATGTAGCTTAAGTCACCTAAGTAACGTAGTTATTTTAAGTCAAACCATGATCTTTTCCTAAATCTAACCAAACTGTGACATTTTACTGTGGTAAGAACTAGTTTTATTTTGAAAGTTGTAACTTGACTGTTGAGCCCTACACGTCCAAAAACGATCCTAAAGGGTACCCAGGGTGTTAAAAGGCGACGCCAAGGGGTCTTGACCAGCATCCATATGTGACGAGCTGGGAGAGAGAATGTGTTGACAGGACTGTTGCCTCAGAGTGGGAAGGAGTCTCATAAAACTTTCCCAGCATGCACCAGAAGTCATGGTTTTAACTAACAGAGTGACATCATCTGCAAAAATTCAGAGGTCCTTAGGTCGCCAAATCTTAGGCTTCAACTGGACATTCTGTTTTGTGTGATTTATTATTTTTTTTGCATACACTCAGAAGTGAGGGAAACTAACTAACTAATACAGAGGCTGAAACTTGTTTTCATTATTAATTAATCTGCAGATTATTTTTGCTAATTCGTCGTTTTGGCTATAAAATGTCAGAAGATTGTTCGACAACACCTGTGGTGTCCAAAACCCCAAAGGTTTTTAGTTCACTTTCACATATGAGAAGGAAAATTATTTCATGCTTTTGGGAGAATATTTGGCATTTTATTGATATATTTATTTATTGATTATCAGAATAGTTACCAATTAAATTTCTATCGATGGCCTAAATGATGAATAAACAGAACTAACTAACTAAAGATATTAATTTGCAAAAGATATATTATTATTATACGAGATATTCATCGTACATATTGCTGTTTACTTTGCGGTGTGTGTGTGTGTGTTATAGGTGTCACTGTATTGACCCCCCCGCCCCTCCAGCTATGTGGGCTGGATAATGGAGACATCAATTATTCATCAACGACACAGTCTATCACATTCACTCTGAGTGTGTGTATTGTGTGTGTACACAAATATGATGTGTAGTTGTGTTTGTTGTGTGTGTGTCTCTCTCTCTCTCTGACATTTCCACCAAATGTACTGATGTTCAATTATTCACAAACTCCTGAGAGAGAGTATTGTGTATTTAGTTATTGTAACTCTGTTTTATTGCCCTGTATGTCACTTTGTCTACTGCAGGAGGAGGAGGAGGGTTTTGGAGGATGAAAGGAAGAGAAGAAAAGGAGTGTAGGAATGGAGGATGGAAGAGAAGAAGGAGAAGAAGGGAAGGAGAGGAGGAAGCGTGAGGGAAAATGAGAGAGGATGATGAAGGGAGGAGGAGGAGGAGTCTATTAAAGGGTGGAAGGAGGAGAAGAAAAGGAGTGTAGGAATGAAGGATGGAGGAGTAGAAGTCGTGAAGGAGCGGAGGAAACAGCAGGAGGAAAACGAGAGGATGATGAAGGGAGGAAAAGAGGAGGAGAAGAGGAGAGGATGGGAAAATGAAAGAAGGAAAGGAGGAGAAGGAAGGTGTACAATAGAAGAGGGCGATGAGCAGTAGGTTAAAAGAGGAGGATATAATGATAAAGGGGAGGGGAGGAAGGAGACAAGAAGAAAAGGATATTGAGAGGAGCAAAGGAAGGAGGAAGAGGTCACAAGGAAAGGAAAAGGGGGAGAGGACATGATAAGCATATGGAGGGAGAATGGGAGGACGACACAGGAACGGGGGGAGGAAAGTACAAAGAGAAGAGGAGGAGATATTAAAAGACAGAAAAGGGCAAGAGAGAAAGAGTTTGGGGTTAGAGGAGGAGGGGCCTGTGGCGGCTGGCGTGGAGGGCGGGGCCCCGCCACAAACAATAAATACTGCCCTATATTAATATTACAGACTGTAAATACTTTGACAGTAAATAGAGGTGACGAAGAGACCCTAACATCTCCCCTCTCTCTCTCTCTCTCTCTCTCTCTCTCTCTCTCTCTCTCTCAGGACCAGTAGGCGGAGTCAGTGTTACCGCATCATCTATCGCCACATGGAGCGAACTCTGACCCAGCAGGAAGTTCGACAAGTCCACGAGCAAATCGAACGCGCTGCCGAGACCGAGCTGGGCGTGCAGGGCAGATACTGACACACTCCCAGCCGGTCGGGGCTGTTCAGCAGCTTCGTCACGTCCTAGCTGTGATATTTCCCTGCAGGGTGAAACGTGTTGACTTTAATAACGACGTCACACGCAGCCTTTAAAGCCAACACACAGCAGAGCGTCACCAACTCTCCTGTGTTTTCTCCTCTTCAGGCTGAAAAGTCTAAATTTGATGTGTGTCATCTTTAATTTCTAAAAACATCCTCTGTGTGTTGAGTCGGCGGCCACGCACCGGCAGCGTTTCATGACGCTTCAAACCGACTCTAAGAAAGATTTAGATGTTTCTGACAGCAGCTGGATCTCGACAGCTGTTCTGTTACTGATCGCTGGCCAGACAGAAGGATTTGTACGACAGTTATCTCTCTGTTTCAGGAGATAAACGTTCACACACTGCAGGTTCACTTCTGATTCTCCACCACACAATCTCAATGTTTTGAAATTGTATACTAAAAGATAATTAAGTAGTTTGGTCCATCATTTCTGTCAGTTGTAGTGACATAATACTCAAGTTAAAATAATGAAAGAAACACAAGCAGTAAAAGTTGAAATGATGGCCAGAACTATAAAATCGAAGCAACAACTTTCTGCAACTAGTTTTCAATCAGTGTGCACAACATGACGAGCCTTCAAATTCAACCTCAGGACTTATTTATAACAGGAAAAGGCTGTGATTGAAGTGATTTTATTCATGCAAACACTGCTGGGAGGTGCAAAGTAAAAAACAAACAACGTAAATCACAACTTGCTAGGTGAAGAGTCACAAGTCATCAGCATAGATTAACTTTCGGCGTTAACACATTAAACACAATCTCGCTCGATGGCGTCAGTTGTTTCCGGCTTCCGTCAGCTTTGATCTGAAACTAAAGATTTGTTATACGAGTAAAGACTTCATCTCTTTCTTTTTCTTTATTTGAAAGGAACATGTCTGTAGCTTTAACTGAAGCTGTGGCCTGTAAGTTTTGTATCTTTAGATGTAAACATTAAAGCTGTTTGTCACATGGTTTCTCCCTGTGTGTTGTTATTCACCCCCAAACTTTACTTCACATGAACAAATGCTGGTGAATCTTCATGACTTGGGTTTAACGTTATGAAGCGGATTTGACATAAAATATTAAAATAAGACTTTATTGATTGATTGATACCATGTCTTGTTAAAATTAAATAAATAAATAAAAGACGTGAAAGTCAGCCGATGGTGTGTGAGCAAACGCCATCTGCACAGGAAGACAGTGAGAAAAAAACTCAACTAAACATCAAACCATTTTAAAAAATGTATTCACGTAGAACTGATGCACGACAATCCACAAAAGACAACCATAAAAGATGTGTCAGCTGCCTGGACTGTAGTTAGCTTCTGTTTCGGGGGAAGGAGGTCTTACCGTTCTCCCTTACCTTGTGAAGCTAAGCTAGGTTAGCCGCCTTCTTGTGCGAGCTTTTCAAATGGATTTCAAATTTGTGGGATTTTTCCCCTTGAGAAATGTTCCACATATTTCATCACCCTCCGCTGCAAGGCACTCGCTCTTATCTGAGACACCGTAGAATTCAAAGTAATCCCAAATTGGACTCTTTGGCCGCTTTCTCCCAACGCCATGCGAGGGGCGTGGACTAAAACCTGGCACAGAAACTGGAAACTGGAAGATAGATTTCATATCCACCCAAAATACCAGGCTTATGTCAGCCCTATGAAATAAAGAAATTCACTTTGTAATTTTAGTTTGTTTTGGAAACAGACGACACAGTTTCAGTTATCGTTTTTTGTAAAGTGTTGTTTTGATTTTTATTTCAGTTAACTAAATGTGTGTCACACCTAGTTTTTGTTAATGATAGCAACACATTTTCACTCCCAACTCGTCACATATTAACACTTGGTCAAGACCTCTTTGGGTATCTTTTAACGCCCTGGGTACCCTTTAGCATTGTTTTGAGACGTTTAAGACTCCGCAGTCAAGTTAGCAACAGGTAACGACAATAAATATGCAGCATCTGGTTAGACTTTCAAAATAAAACATTGCAATTTTGAAATGGCAAGTCAAGTTAAAGTTGTGAAACGTTGCAATTTGGTTGGGTTTAGGAAAAGATCATGATTTGGGTTAAAATAACTGTCAGTTAACACGTAAGTTAAGTATCATTAGCGTAACTTACATAATTCATGTAACCTACTTTAAAAAAAATGTAATGTTGACTTTTTGTTGCACACGGGAAACGAACACCGGTCTCTCATGGTTGAAAGTCTGGTTTCAAGCCCATCGTCCACCAGAACCACCTCCTCTTTTCTGTTAAATATTACACATTTACATTTATTCTTTTAGCTGACGCTTTTATCTAAAGCGACTAACAGCAACTAAGGTTTAAGTGTCTTGCTCAGGGACACAATGACGGTGTCGCAGTGGGAATCGAACCGTCCAAAGGTGACGTTACTGGGCTTCCCTCAGTGCGTTATACTGTGATGCTAAGGGACTGTCCAGTGCGTTACAAACTGACTGCATCGGCTCTTGAACAAGCGTCCACATGTGACGAGTTTGGAGTGAGAACGAGATCATAATAACTTTCAACCAGCATCAACCTTTCCAGCTGTTTGACCTACAGCAGCTCGTGTGTTGGGTCGGACCACACGGGTCAGCCTTCGCTCCCCACGTGCATCAATGAGCCTCGGCCGCCAATGACCCTGTCGCCGCTTCACCGCCTTCCTTCCTTGGACCTGCCTCTGATCAGTACTGACCACTGCAGCCCGGTTTGGAGATGCTCTGACCCGCTCGTCTAGCCATCACAGTTTGGCCTTTGTCAAAGTCGCTCAAATCCTTACGCCTGCCTAAACCAAACCGTTTCATAACGTTAAACATCATGTGACTTACATAATGCACTTAAGGTCCGGTACTCGCCAATGGTCCTATATGTTGTTGTACTTCCCGACGCACATACGTGTTGTTTTGGGACACTCGGCAGTCGACCAATTTTGTTGTTTCAGTGTGAGGACGTGTTGAATATCTACGCTACAAGAAACAGCAGACTGAAACCGATCAGAGGGACAGCCGACAGCTGACGTCCAACATTTTTTGTCATTTTGCAATAAATCTGATCGATGGCCACACAAAGTCCTCGTCTCCCTCCTCACTCTGCACACACTCCTGCGGAAATGTCACACACACACACACACACGGGCGTCCAAATGCCACTCTGTCAGTTATTCGGTGCCAGTGTTGAGGCATTAAATGGCTTCGCCTGTCACTCCAGTCAGCCATGCAATGAATTCTGGGAGTTTTTACACACACACTCATTTGAATACAGCTCGTTAGAAAATACACTCCTACTGTCTCACATACCCCAGTATAATAACCAGACAGCGCTCTGTCAGTGTGCTGAGACGATACGCCGGCTTAGGCTGCTACGATCATACACTGGCATGCTGCAACTTCACACACACACACACAAACACACACATATACCTACACACACACACACACACTTACAGGCAAAGGCCACTCTGCCAATCATGCAGTGGGAGGCTGTCTGCCTTCGATGGCTCTGCTCATCACTCTGGTCGAGTTAAAACTGAGTTCTGACAGTTTGAGGCCATGCTTACAGTTTGGACACACACACACACACACACACAGTAAATACACACTTGAATATTTAATCACTGAGGCTGTTTTTTCGATGCTTAAGATAAAGTAACACAATGACATCAAATAAAAGTTTATTTGCCTGTTTACGTCACGGCTAAATATAAACTTACTCATGCTTTTCAAGCAGAACGCACACATTGGTTTGTAGAAGTGGGATAAATAAAGACACTGTCAGCGAAGCATTCAGATTCTTTACTTACTCAAAAGTATTAATACCTCACTGTACAAATACTCTGTTATAAGTAAAAGTACTGCACTGTAAATGTTACTTAAGTTAAAGTATAATGAGGAAAAAGTATTCCGTGTTCCCGGTGACTGTTGTTATACTACATACTGTTAAAATGTACTAGCTGTACTTTTATAAACTGTCGGGTAGTTTACTTTATAATAAAACATCATATTTTATAAACTCTTCATGTTTTATATGTAAAATCTTACTTTGTAAAGTAACTAAGGCTGTCAGATAAATGTAGTGAAAAGTACCATTTCTCCCTCTGAGATGTGGAGTAGAAGTAGAAAGTGGCATGAAAAGTCAAGGTACTCAGGTAAATATTTACTGTCCACCACTAAACATAGTAATATGAGTGAAAAAGTGCAGTCACATTTACCAACACTGAGCACACTGAAATGTACCAAAAAGATGTTTATTCATTCGTGTTAGTTTTACAGTGTGCCATCATGAACCTGCTAACAGGTGACAGGCAAAAGTACAGAAAAGTACAGAAGTATTATCAGCAGTTTGTGCTCATTGTGCAGAATAAAACAAATAGAAGTAAGAGAATTTACTTCGTCACCGCGTTTTCAAAAAAAACCCTTTATTTAAGAACCATTCAGATAAAATCTATTTTTCAAGGGCACCCTGACCAAGAAAGGCATCAGGACAGCAAGCCTGCCAGCACAGACCTGGAATACACTGAAAACATCTACCATAATACAAGTACACATATCCCAGGGGTCCTTGAAGAGCTTCCAGGGGGTCACCAGCAAAAAGGGGAATACTTTATAAGTCCATCCATAACACAATGACAGAATATCTGACTATTTTGAAAACGTTTGAGAACCACTGTTCTAACATACGGTGGTTCCCTCTGAAAACTAGTGAAGTATAAAGCAGCATAAAATGGAAATACTCAAGTAAAGTACTTAACACCCTTCACGTGTGCACACACTGAAGACAGAAAGTGTTAGTTTTAAAGCTCTAAAAGGTTAAATATAGACATCGAACTTCTGTCCTCCAGACGTCACTCTGAGACAAAGTGGTAGATTACTTCAAAGACACCGTCACACCTTCTGACGCACATACGCTGCTTCATCTCACACATATCTGTCGCTCTGTCTCTCCCTCAGGTGGAGGTCCTGGGAGGTTTACCCTCCAGTGTGTCTGGTCACAATTGATTGGCTCGTGCGCAGAGACACAATGTGACCTCTGCAGGAAACAGACTTTACTGTCCAGACTCTTTCTGTGGATCCAGAGACACGTGTCCAAGACTGTGTCGGACATTTCAGGGAGATTCAAGGGGGGTTTCAGACATGTTTCAGTTGATTGAAAGATCTGAGTTTGTTTCTGTCGAATATAAATAATGCAGTTTCAAGGACATTTCAGGCAGATACAAGGATGTGTCAAGAGGACTGACAGGTGTTTCAGAAATGTATAAATGTTAAAGGCAGATTTGAGAATGTTTCCAGTAGATTCAAGGGTGTTTTGAGTAGACTCGAGGGTGTCTCAGATGTTTCGGAGGAATTTTTAAGGCTCATTCAGGAAGGTTTTTTAAGGAGATTCAGGGTGTTTCAGGAAAATTGATGGGTGTCTCTGAGAGATTTGCAAATGTTTCAAGGAGATTTAAGGATGCTTTAGGCTGATTCATGGATGTTTCAGGTTGATTTAAGGACGGTTCAGGCTGGTTTGAAGATGTTTCAGGATGACTTGAGAATGTTTCAAGAAAATTGAAGGATGCTTCAGGTTGATTTAAGGATGTTTCAGGCTGATCCAAGAATGTTTCAGGAAGGTTTGAGGATGTTTTAAGAAGATTCAAGGATGTTTCAGGCTGATTCAAGGATGTTTCAGGCTGATTCAAGGATGTTTCGGGAAGATTTGAGGATGTTTTAAGAAGATTGAAGGATGTTTCAGGAAGATTTAAGGATGTTTCAGGCTGATTCGAGGATGTTTCAGGCTGATTCAAGGATGTTTCAGGAAGGTTTGAGGATGTTTCAGGCTGATTCAAGAATATTTCAGGAGGATTTGAGGATGTTTCAGGCTGATTCAAGGATGTTTCAGGACGATTTGAGGATGTTTTAAGAAGATTGAAGGAAGTTTTAAGCTGATTCAAGGATGTTTCAGGCTGATTCAGGTTGATTTAAAAATGTTTCAGGAAGGTTTGAG